CATTTCAAAAAAACAAAAAATAAAAATAAAAATAAAAAGAGCAAGTCCCACGTTGGGACTGCAAAAACACACACAAAAAACCCCACAGAAACATAACCCCCCCAGTCCAAACCCACCCTCCAAAACCCACCCAGAAAAGGTGCCTCCGCTGCCTCCACACGGCCGGGGGTGAGCGGCCAAGTGCCCGGCCAGCTTTAGCCTCCCAGTGCTAACCTCCGAAGGCACCGATCGCAGCGGTGGGGAACCCCAGGGAGGTCTCCCATGGTGGCATGCAAGCCCTGGGAGACCTCCCTGGGGGTCCCCCCCGCCGCCGCAGTCGGCGGCTTCGGAGGTTTTAAAGGGCTTTCCCCCGACATCGGAGGAAGCCGTTTAAAACCTCTGAAGCCAAAAAGGCAGGGAGAAAGACCCCCGAGGAAGCCCTTCGAAAGCTCCAAAGGCAGGGAGGAAGGGCAGAAATTCGAATTTCCCGCCCTTTCTCCCTGTCTTTTGGGTTCGTAACCCGATCCGCGTTCGAGAGTAGGGTGTACTACTTGCGATGAGATCGGGTTCATAACCCGAAATGTTCGCACTTTCAAAGAGCTTCCTCGGGGGAAAGCCCTTTGAAACCTTTGAATGCACCGATCACGGCGGCGAGGACTCCCAGGGAGGTCTCTCATGGTGGCGTGGAAGCCCTGGGAGACCTCCCTGGGGGTCCCCGCCGCAGTGATGGGCGGCTTCGGAGCTCTCAAAGGGATTTCCCCCAACATTGAAGGAAGCCCTTTGAAAGCTCCAAAGGCAGGGAGGAAGGGCAGGAATTTCGAATTTCCTGCCCTTTCTCCCTGCCTTTTGGGTTCGTAACCCGATCCGCGTTCGAGAGTAGGGTGTACTACTTGCGATGAGATCGGGTTCCTAACCCGAAATGTTCGCAACTAGGGCCATTCGTAAGTTGAGGGCCCACTGTATGAATTTGTCATTGGGTTAGAACACATAGGTCCAAAGCTGAAACCCAACTTATTTTTAAGCTGCAAAAGTTGCGTAAGATGACATTTGGGATAATTCATGATTGTTTAGGGGAAGGGAAATAAGTCCTTGTTTTCTGAGCAGGAGGTCCAAAGATGGATCTTTGACATTTTGAGTTACAACAATCTCTCACAAGGCTGGGAAAGTTCCCTCCCTACCCTGAAACCTTGGGAAATGATTGGTAATTGAAATAAGCAGTGTTGGGCTAGAAAGACAGAATGTCTGACTCTGGTTAAGGCAGTTTCAGATGTCTTTAAATACTTTGTATGCTAATATTGTTAGTTGTGACAGTACTGATTTGAAAACTTCAGAATCTGGCTGTCTAGATGTTGCTGGGGACTAGGCTGATGGCTCATGTGATATTGGTGCAATGCCAGTTGTTTTGGTAGCCAGTACATTTATGACAAAAAACGTAAAGTGTTTGTTTTAATGTTGCCAGGTTTCCAGGTATAACAGCAAGAAAGATGAAACAAGCAGTAATTTCTTATAAATCTGTTCTTCTATTAAGGTACCCTGCCCAGCAGTGTCTAGAGTTGAAGTGTGTATAGGGGAGGCAACAAGATGGGGTTGGGATTCTGTTTGTATACTGTCATGCCCAACCATCTCCCTACTTGAGTTGATGGAGGTATTCTTGGCAGCAGTACAGTATTGATTCCTCCCCAATTGATTGTGCAGGGGAGTGTGGCCAAGCATAAGTTGGTATGTGTGTTTGAAAGGACCAGACAGATCACTACATCACAGGGTTCAGGTTTGTTGAGATTCTTTTCGTCTCTGCACAGGAGAGCTAGATGTATTGTGATGTTTTACACTAAGAGACAAATGATTTGGAAGGATTCTTTAATGCTCTGGGGGATTTTCTGGGGTGTTAATAGCCTGGTTGGGTCTATGGAATGGAGAGATGGCCCGGGCAGTTGACACAGTCATAGTTAAGTATCCTCTACATGAGTATGGAGCACAAGTTCCTTGTTTATCTGAGATGCCCTGGGCAGTAAAGGATCAGAATAGATGATTAGAGCAAAGACAGAGGACAAGACCCATCAAATATGCCTTAGGGCTCGTTATAGCATTAATTGTGCAATAGTGAGGACAGCAAAGAAGTTGTGTGGTTTTTTGTGGCCTACATTGCATCTTCATCCGACAGAATTGTTTCAGGATTTAAAATACAACTACTGTACATTCTAACCTCAAAAGTACTGAGGCCCCAGTAGTAACTCACTCCAGTGAATTTCCGAAATACATTGGGGAGAAAATTATCCAACCTGGATTCCACATTGAGGATAGTTCCGGGGGAGTAAATAGGACAAGCATGAGCCTAATTGATGGATAAGCTTCAGTCTGTTCAGCCTTATACAGTAATGGAGGAAAAGTTGCTTGGAAAGATGAGACAAACCATTTGTTACTAGCCCATTCTGACTGATTGCTGCTAGAGACAGACTGAATAATTGGTGTGTCGGGTGTGTTAGTACTTCTTTGAAAGAGAGTTGTGTAATCCCTATTAGAGATTGGCATAAACTGCCATTCCATGGTTTGGTAGCACAGCGCCTTCTGTGGGTGCCCTGGCTTCCCAGCTCTGCCTCCTCCAGCGGGCACCCACTCAAAAGCAGTGCCCATGCCCATCTCTAATCCCTATAAAAGGCAATTCAAAGCAATTACTATGTGCAAGTAATATCTCACCAAAAATCTACAGCCACTTCCACAACTGCTGTTCCATGCATTGAGCAGAGGATTGGAATTGATGGCCTCATAGGCCCCTTCTAACTCCATGGTTCTATGATTCTATGAATGATAATCCCTACAGAGAGTGACTTCAAAATATGGGACTAGCATAGATGACAGTATGATATATATATAATGTTTCTCAGTTCCGTCTCTGCCAGAGGAAAAGGTAGGGTGACATTTGAAAACACCCACACCTCAGTCATTATACATGATTAGCTAGTATTTATGATCTTATCTTTTAATTTTTCTGGTAGATAAAACCTCCATATCCTCATTCAGCAAATTAATTTTGTCTGTTATAGATGTATTATTACTGTCTAACCTGACATTTAGGTAATTCCTATCAATCGTCATAGGAGTACGAATTGGTGGATATTATATAATCTTCTGAGTGTGTAAGATGACCAAAATATTGCTTCCAAAATTCATAGAACCATCAGTTGAAATGTAAAAGCAACGCATGCTAAGTTAAACAAGCTGTTGTTTTCTGAGGCTGCTGTTTTCAGTTTAATACATTACGTTTTCTCTTCCGCCGACTCAAACTAGGCAGAGACCAGTAGTATCCTCTTGAAAAATTGTGGGTGGGACAATGTTCCCTGATCAATCATCCTCCTTGTTAAATTTTCAAATCATTTGTAATAGTTGGTGGGATGCTTTTACAAATAATTAATGGAATAATGTATTCTCAAAGGCTTTCATGGCCGGGATCTGATGGTTGTTGTAGGTTTTTCAGGTTGTTTAGCCATGTTCTGAAGGTTTTTTTTCCCTTCAGAACACAGCCAAACAGCCCGAAAAACCTACAACAATTTATTAGTGGAATACCTTCTGTGCTGAATTATTGAGGGAGATAAAGTAAGGTCATGTGATCTGTAAGTGACTGTTCCATTTCTTGAACAAAGGGAGGGCAAGAGGGAAAATATTCATTTGGACGAGAGAGAATAATACTTCCCAAGTATAACAAAAGTATGAGCAAAATTAGTGTGAAACATTAAATACAAATATGCTTATTTTCTATACAGTTTTTAAGCCAAACAGGAGACTGGTTTATAAATAAGTATTTTAAAAGCTCTGCAGCTGCTCTCACCTGGTTTTAGAGCTCTTGCTTGGGTTGGGTCACCTCTTATGATACCCCATCCAACATTCATGTGTGATGCCAAATATGCAGCAATGCATATCTTGTACATAGTTCATTCAACATTGATTGGGTACAACAAAGGCCAAAATCACAACACGAACACAAACTTTTTTTTTGGGCCCAGCACTATTGTTATGAGTTTGTGGTAGTGCATTCCTTTGGAAGGCCTCATGAAGGCAAGAAGCAATATGGGAAGGGAAAAAAATAAGCAAGCAAATAATAAATGATTTGGACCCAAGATACTTGAAGTACATCTTTTAATCGTACCATGTTCCTTGCTCTTTTGAGGTCATCAGTGGGAGCTTCAGTTAAGGATGGTGAAACTTTGATAGGTTTTAGATGAGGGACCTGTATATGGTGAAAGGAGCTAGGGCGTCATTGTTGTTGTTTAGTCATTAAGTTGTGTCCGACTCTTTGTGACCCCATGGTCCAGAGCACGCCAGGCCCTCCTGTCTTCCACTGCCTCCTGGAGTTTGGTCAAATTCATGTTGGTCACTTTGATGACACTGTCCAACCCATCCTCTGTTGTCCCCTTCTCCTCTTGCCTTCATACTTTCCCAATTTTTCTTTGCAGCATCGGACTTTCCTTTCACTTCCAGGTGCGTCCACAGCTGAGCGTCCTTTGGCTTTGGTCCAATCACTTCATTAACTCTGGAGCTACTTGTCCTTCTCTTCCTCAGTAGCATGTTGGATGCCTTCCAACCTGAGGCACTCATCTTCCGGCATCATATCTTTTAGCCTTTTGTTTCTGTCCATGGAGTTTTCTTGGCAAAGATATTGGTGACTTGCCAGTTCCTGCTCCAGGTGGATCACGTTTAGTCAGAACTCTCCACTATGACCTCTCCCTCTTGGGTGTCCCTGCACAGCATATCTCATAGCTTCTGTGAATTACTGAAGCCCCTTCACCACGACAAGGCAGCAATCCGTGAAGGGTCTTTATGAGGCCTCTATTTTGCTAGCTGTGAAGATTTACATGTTTCTATTGGCTTCTCTTGAATTGTGGACTTGCTGCATTTACTTGTATTTGCTGTTTTATTTTGAATTTGTTGTATAGTTTCTTTTAGTATTGCACAGCAGCTTATGGGGGGTCTCAGCTCTGAAGATTGTCAGAACATTTTAATTAATCTTTTTAATGTGTTTGTCTTAGTGTCTCAGGCTTTGCGTGAGAACACCTACCCATTCCTCGCAATGATTATGCTGAAGGATCGTAGAATGACCGTAGTTGGAAGGTTAGAAGGACTCATCCAACCTGATGACCTCATGAACCAATTGACATTTATCATGGATGCCAACCAGACATACCTGGTGTCTGAGCGCCTGGAAAGGTACTAAACTGAAATCTACTGATGCTGTCTCTCTTGACTACCTTTCAGCTCCTGGGGCTTGTGTTGAGTTAGCTTATATCAAATACGTTTTATATATTTATTCAGATCAATTACCTCTGATGTAAGATGATCTAGTCCTATGGCCATTCTTAAACTAACCTAGATACATCAGTGCAAAACAAACTAAGGTAAAGGTAAAGGTTCCCCTTGACAATTTTTGTCCAGTCGTGTTCGACTCTAGGGGGCGGTGCTTATCCCCGTTTCCAAGCCATAGAGCCACCATTTTTGTCTGAAGACAATCTTCCATGGTCACATGGCCAGTGCGACTTAGACATGGAACGCTGTTATCTTCCCACCGAAGTGGTCCCTATTTATCTACTCGCATTTACATGCTTTCAAACCACTAGGTTGGTGGGAGCTGGGACAAGCGACGGGTGCTCACTCCATCGCGGGGATTTGATCTTATGACTGCTTGGTCTTCTGACCCTGCAGCACAGGCTTCTGCGGTTTAGCCCGCAGCACCACCACGTCCCTAACAAACTATTAAACCGTAATTGCATGTCTGCTTTGTGACTGGCATTTGTGTATGTTGCTGATAAATTGTGTTTCTATGGTAGAAGTTCTACTGAGTTTTGATGTGCTGAATATTGCATGTTTTCTGCAGAAATTGTGTCTTGAGGAGAGTGCGACACACGATCACTGGCACAATATTCTTTGCTACTCAGTTGAAAGAAATTAGTGATGCTACTATAGAGAGGGGGAAATTGCATTCCAGGTGCTAGCCATAGCATTTTGGATTCATGTTCAGTTTCCCAAGCACTATAGAAGCATTCTTGGATCCCTGTCAGGTCACATGCCTCAGTAGGAGTCCACTTAAGAGGCTCCACTGTGCTCCATTGCTAGTGCTGCAACAAGGTGGCAATAAGGGGCTGAAGCTCCTTGCACTTGCCTGACTTGTATGCTTTCTGATGGGAGCTGGCAATGGCTGCTGCGGCTTTTCTTCAGTGTCAGTACTTAGTCATCCCCTTCTAGTCTGGAGAGTGCAGTCTTGGTGGAAATGGAGGCCAGATATTAGCTCCAGACCTTGCTTTGGGCACAGAAATGGCTGTTTTTGATCATCCTGTCCACAGCGTCCTACAGCTGTTGCTGGTGAAATGCTTCGTAACTAGTATTCATAGGCACATGGACCAATGCAGTTGCAAATTAAGAGATTATCACTTCAAGGAGATAGTGCTGCATGATTTCAATTATCACTTTTTATAATATAGGCAAGTGTTATTCCATTGCCTGTTAGCCTCTCCATACCCTCAGAGTTGCCCATAGAGATTACTTGACATTTACTTCCCTCAAAAAGGCATTTCTAAAAACATTTAATTATGCATATTAATTAGTCTTTGCAGACATCATTTTCCAGAACAAAAGTGGGAAATGTTCAGTTTGAAACACCTCCCCTCCACCACAACCCTGATAATTTTATTCCAAATCCTATAGGCAGAGTCTTTCCTACTATTTTTCAGTTGGACATACGTTTTCCCTTCTCCTTTTAGAGAAGAAAGAAACCAAACTCAGGTGCTGAGACAGCAGCAGGATGAAGCATACCTGGCTTCCTTACGGGCAGATCAAGAAAAAGAGCGCAAGAAAAAAGAAGAACGTGAGAAGAAGAAGAGAAAGGAGGAGGAGGTACAGCAGCAGAAACTGGCAGAGGAAAGACGGAAACGGGTGAGTAGCAAACTTGTCAGTAGCAGCAAATTACAGATCTCAGCTGCCATTTTCCTAGTAAGGAGGAGTGTTCTGCTTCTGAGTTGCAAATCATACTGGGTCTTCCAACCTGTCTCCTATCATTGCATATGAAGTACTGGATTGGAGATGTGGTTATTAGTTCCTACAAGTCCTTTTTTGCTGATTAATCTACATTGTACAATGTGAAATAAAAAGTTTGTGTTTTAGGATCACAAATAAGATCTCAATGAAGCACGCAGTCTGTTTAGTTTAGCAGCAGAGTTTTAAAGTATTCATAGGGGAACAGGATAGGCAGAGGTGGGGCTAATAGTGGGTGGGACCAAGCTAGGATATTCTTGTCAGGCTCATCGTTTTTTTCTGCCATCCCCACCTGTCTCACTCTCTCTCTCTGCCTTCTGAGACACACAAAGATCCTGCTTGCATGAGATATTTTTAATTTGTCTTTCCAAGCTAACCATTCCCTCCACTGCTGAAAATCTCCCCGGGTCCAAGCGATTTTTTGTGTGTAGGACAGGGCTGATGAGAGGAGATCTGAAGCCAAATCTGAATGTTTCCTGGACCAGAGATTTTCCAGCCTGAGATAAGCTATGTATGCTTATACAGTGGTGCCTTGCTTGACGAGGATAATCCATTCCAGCAAAATCCTCGTCAAGCGAAATAAAAAAGCCTATTGAAATGCATTGAAAACTGGTTCAATGCGTTCCAGTGGGCAAAATACCTCAGTGTCCAGCGAAGATCCTCCATAGGTTGGCCATTTTCCGATGCCTGTGTAGCGAAAAATCCATCTTGAACACAGCGAGGAGCCATTTTGAAAACCCGGTGGCCATTTTGAGAACCCAACGATCAGCTGTTTTGATCACTGCAATGCGAAGAATTGGTTCCCGAAGCAGGGAACCGATTGTCACAAAGCGGATTTTGCCCATTAAAACATCGTTTTGCGATCGCAAATGAATACCCAGCTTTCTGGGGCGGGGGGCAGCAGTGTGTAGCCTGCTTAATTAACTTGTAAACCACCCAGAGAGTGCTTTAAGTGCTATGGGGCTTGCTTTAATGGCAAGATCCTGTCTTAAAAAAAAAAAGATTGATTCCGGGAGTAAAAGCGGACATCAAGCAAAATTTCTTTTTCAAAAATTGGGGAACATGGAAGGGCTAGGTAAGGTGGATCTGAACTCCAAAGATTTGTTCACTTTGATTCAAATGACATCCAAGAAGAGTATCTTTTCAGGAGCCTACCACTGGAGTAAATTTCCTGTGATCTATATGGATTTTAAGTAAAATATTTGAAAGTGGAAGAGGTGATAACTTATTTAGACCACTAAAAATCAAAGATTAAACACAGGCTTTTGTGAACAAAATGCATTTCGTCAAGCTTAGAGCAGAAAAATTATGCATGAAAGTCCCAAGATGGTCTTGGCAGAGATGATCCACCAGACACATTGCTTTAAGTGGGTTGATAGATGGTTTCAGGCATTTAAGGCAATGTTAATACCTTTCAGGCAATATTACCTTTCATAATGCAGGCATTTAAAGTTCCACTGGGAAATATAAAGGGCAACTTTTTTAAGACTGTTTCTATACAGTTACTGATTGTCTTTACATCTCCCTTATTTTTGGCTTTATTGTTTTCTTGATTATTAGAACTCTAGGACCTTAATTTGTAATAAACATTTTAAGAAATGAGTTGGGATTTCTTCTGTTTTTTAAAAAAATCAGTTGCTAACTAGGTAGGCTTAATCTGAGGAGAAAAGAAATTTCCCTTTTCTTAAGGAGCATGTTCAGTTCCCCAGATTTTAGTCAGCTAGAAACAGAAAGTTTTTCTATCTTACTGTTCACAATGCTAAACCATTTTCAGTAGTGCCTGTTCTGCTGTTGAAAGAGTAAGTTCTGCTGTATAGCAGTTTGCAAGTTACAACATCCAAGAACAAACATTCTTGTTCTTGGATGTTGTTTGTACAAGCAGCGCTTTACTTTACAGAATGCAAGTTTAGATAGTGATGCTTGTTAACATTTGACTGTTCAATGTTTCTTGCTCCATTAACATGCAGTTGCTGTGAATTATAAGTAGCATAGCTACAGGTAGTATAATGCAACGCTGTTGCTGATCCATAAGTTTCAGTCCTTTTTGTCGGTTGCAGTCCAGATCACCTCTTCTTTTTCTGTTGACAACCTTTAGAGGTTGTTGTGGGTTTTTCGGGCTTTTTGACCATGTTCTGAGGGTTGTTCTTCCTAACGTTTTGTCAGTCTCTGTGGCCAGCATCTTCAGAGGACAGCACTCTGAAGCACAGAATGCTGTCCTCTGAAAATGCTGGCCACAGAGACTGGCGAAACGTTAGGAAGAACCACCCTTAGAAGACGGCCAAAGAGGCTGAAAAACCCAGAACAACCATTAGATCCCAGCCGTGAAAGCCTTCGCGAAAACCTTTAGAGGGCTTGTATAAATCACATTTCTTTGCCGAGGCTGGCCAGCACAAGTATCATCAGCAAATTTGTGTGGTGCTTGATTCATAGGTATAGGTCATGCCAAAGTGATAACTATTAGCTCACTGTATCAGTTTGGGATGTAGTGTGTAGATTTTTATTTGGGTTAGTGGCATACTTTTTTTGTTTGATTCTTTTGTTTTTAGAGCTTTTGTTTTTAATAGAAGCATATTAATATTTGTCTTTTAATTTGGAAAATTGGTTATACATTAGAATTACTTGCCTAAGCATGCATTACACATTTCTTTAATAGGAATAATTGAAGAATGCCATTGTTACCAGTGCAGAGTCAGTGCAACTACCATTCACTAGGAACCCAATCTTACTGTAGCATTTTTTTTCTACACATGAGTTGTTTTTAGACTACTACTCTGAAATTTCCTTTCTCCCAAGGGGAGAAAGCAGCAGGAACCAGTGTGCATTATATTCTTTTTTTCAGTGTTTTTAGTAAAGCAGATAAAGCACCTTGGTTCTGTCTACTGATAATGTGACTTATGCCAAAGTTCTAGTATGTGTATTTCAAGAAAGATGAAAGCATATCTTGACTTCCACTGAATTCAGTGCAGTAGGAATGCGATATCCATGGGGGCTCTGTTCCAGGCTCTCTATCTCTCTCTATATATACCAGAGACTATGAGAGAGAGAGTAAAAGATTAGTAAAAAAAATATTTTGTGATCATTATGCTTTCTGTTGACTGTATTCTTGAAGGCTTTCACAGTGAGAATCTTATGGTTGTTGTGGGTTTTCAAGGCTGTTTGGCCGTGTTCTTAAGGTTTTTCTTCCTAGTGTTTCACCAGTCTCTGTGGCTGCCATCTTCAGAGGACAGGAGTCAGAACTCTGTCTATGCTCTATTGCTTTTTGGATGTTTGTTGGATAGTTGAGTATTTATAACTGTGGGGTCAGTTTTTGTCCTTTTCAGGAGATTTGGTGATTATGGTAATCAGCGTGTTTTTTGTTGTGGGTGTATTGTTGTGATAAGGGGGAAGATAATCTGTCACTGTCACTGATGGGCGTCGTTAGCTGGTCTTTTGTGTGCAGTGATCACCAGTCCTTGTGGACAGGAGTCAGAACTCTCTTCTGAAGATGCTGGCCACAGAGACTGGCAAAACGTTAGGAAGAAAAACTTTTATGAACATGGCCAAACAGCCCAGAAAATCCACAACAACCTTTCTGTTGACTGCTTGTGTTACTGTGACAGCAACAGTTGTATTTTTACCATTGGAGCTACTGCCTACTGTTTACATTTTCATTTTCTCCTTGCAGACCCTACAGGAGGAGAAGGAAAGAAAATCTGAATGCCTTCCACCAGAACCTCATCCTGATGATCCAGAAAGTGTCAAGATCATCTTCAAAATGCCCAATGACTCTCGGGTGGAAAGGCGATTCCATTTTACACAATCTTTATCAGTAAGGATGAGACAGAATTTCTTGATTTTGTGATTGTGAAATGTGTTGATCACTAGAGAACAAAAATTTAAATTTACCAATCTGACAATATTAATGGGGCAGACATGATGAAACTGAGATAATGGCTGAAGTAAAGCAGAGTGTTCTTATTATTTTTATAATGCTTCTTATTGTACAGATGATAGCAAGAGCCTTGCAACATAATTAAGCTGAGAAAGAAACCCATGGGTCACTTGCTTGGCTTTAAAATTTATCAGGGATTCAGAATCTCTTATGTGGAAACCCAGGACTCTTTCCATTGCGTTGTGGAAGGGAAGCAGTGCACAGAATCCAAAGTGTCCCTGCAGTACTTTGCAGGAATTTTTCAGGGCACTGTATGGAAGCAGTAGAAGTTGTACTTATGGGGATTCTGGACCCAAATTCTTACATTTTAGAAATATGGGAGAATATCTGTTCATACAGATGTTTTACAGGAAATTCTGACTTTTTAGATTTTTCTCTTTACCTTCGAGACTCCCATGTCCTTACAGATCTGCTATCTTGGTCGTCAGCACAAGAGTATTGCAATTTCAGAACCTGGACTAATTTGTTTTCTGCACACTGTTATGAGGCATGGCTCTCCGTAAGCTAAGAATAAGTAAGTAACTTTTTAGCAAATGATTCTTTTCTGCTTCTCTAGGTGATCCATGATTTCCTGTTCTCTTTGAAAGAGAGCCCAGAGAAGTTCCAGATTGAGGCCAACTTTCCTCGCCGTGTCCTGCCCTGCCTTCCAACAGAGGAATGGCCCAACCCACCCACGCTGCAAGAAGCTGGACTCAGCCACACGGAAGTTCTTTTTGTGCAGGACCTCACGGACGATTGACATTTCACCCCAAAATATACAGAGATGGAAAAAGATTCATATTATAATACGATATTTTTTTTAAAGACTGCTGCGTACAAATGAGGGATCAGAGACTATGTGGCCTGGGGCAGCCACATCATGTGTCTGCACTGGTGGGAGAAATGGCACACTCGCACACACTCAACCCCTTTTACATTCAGAGGGTGGATGAGAGGGGCCACAGTTGCCATCCCAGGAGAAGGTCAGAAATATCAGCTCTGGGTCAATACGGCGTTTCTTAAACGTAATACACCCCGGCATTCTGACATTAGAAGACTGGATGTTTTGCTGCTTGTGATAGCTAGAGGACTGTATCTGTGGGTCGGGCAGACATCTTGTGCCCTGTTTGGGAGGGACAGACAGAGGGTTATTACTTCCAGCTTCTCATTCTGTATAAATCTTTTAAAACTTCTGCTTTGTAATGACCAAAGGAGAACAGGGGTAACAGTTGAATTTTTTTTAAAATAAGGAGCTGGTTGACATTCTTAACAGGGGTTCTTCTCCCAGGTTGTTAGCCTACATAGTGTAATAAAACTCTGGCTCTAGTGTGCCTGTGCTAACACCTCTGACTCTCAGCGTCTTACTGCCTATGTTGACCGTATTTATCCCAAATGCACTACTCCGTTTGCAACAATGGCCTGTGCAGACCAAATGTCCCAGTTCCTTTAGAGTTGTTGCATCCATCAGAATTCACCACTCTTTTTTTAACTTTATGGTTGGCTTATCTTGGCTTGCTCTGGTGGAATCTTCAGCTGTGCTGGTGTGTGGTATTTCCAGTCTAACCACATAGAGGTAGTGACTGGAGAAATGGTAGAATATTTAAAACCTACCTCTTAAAAGGGATGTAGACATTTTTGCAGTTGAATTGGTAGTGAAAGGACATTTGTCGGTGTTGGTGTTTACCTCTTGCGTCTCTATGTAAAAAAAAAAAGCTTCAAGAGCAAACAATGATGAGCTGAATGTTGTAGCTGGAGTCCCTAGTGATCAAATGGGTGCTGTGTAGCTCTTGCAGAGCATCTAATTCTCTTAAATGATTGTAGTTATTAGATGGAATTGAGACATGCCCTGTATGAAAAGAATGAGGATTTGTGGCTTTGCACTGCATGAAAGGCTTCTCCAGTTCTTCATCCAGCCCAGCACTTTTTGCAGTAATGTGGTAGGTTGAAGCCCCGTCCATGTGGGAGCTTCATAGAGGAGAACATGTTAAAGAAAATGGCTGACCTGCTTCTTCCTTCAACTTAAGTAGAATTGCACTGAGCATAAGAGCAGTCCAACCTGTTGTTTGTGCTGAGTGTAGGGAGCTCGGGCCTACCCCATCACACAGTGAGATGTTCAGTGAGCAAGGCTCCCACTTGTATTTTGAAGTAACAAGATTTTTTTCTAGTCATAGACTCTGCTTTGGCTTTCAGAAGTTAAGACCACAAACGTGATAACGTACATGGAACTCACTTATCTGTGTCTAAGCAGAAAAGGCGTCTATCCTACTTGCTATTGGATACTTGTTAGAGATGATACCTCCTGTGAATCAGCAGCATTTGGAATTGAGCGGGACTCATGAAATACAGTACTACTTTTATTTGTAAGATATAGCTTTCCTTCTCTGTTTCGTTTCACTTGGATAGAACCACAAAATACTGTGTCTTTGGGTA